TTTTTAACGTATTATGTATGGAAGAAATTAATAAAGATTTGAATTTTGTTAAGTTGAAAGATTATAAAACACTTTTTCAATTGAAAGTTTCTAAAGAATCTTTAACACTATTCGTGACGGCCTATTTTTATTTTCTCAGTGATGGGGAGGGGGGCTTTCTGGCCCCTCCTTTTTTTAATTATCTAATATTTTTACTATGCTGCTAGTGAGAGAACCTGTTGTTAAAATATTTGAATCCCACCACTAACTTATTTTCAACAATCGCTCTATAACAAACGCTATAACAACGAACTTCAACAATACTTCTGACTGCAGTTCAATTACTCACTACCTACACACACATTCTGTCTCGTCACGCCGTGACCATCTTATATATACCAGCCTACCCTATATCTAGTAATCTCCCAACAATTCCCGAAGGTTCGAGAGAACGAGTGGTGTGACCCTAGTCACGTGACCTCGCTGACGCAACAATAGAAATAGTTCAAGGATAGCCTTAACTGTTACTAATACTAACCAATGGTGTGTGAATTTTTTTGCTACTTTCATTAATTAAAAATCACTGAAACCCGCCCCTCCCCCCCAGTGGCACAGCGGTATGTCTGCAGACTAACAACGCTAGAAACCGTGTTTCGATACCCGTGGTGGGCAGAGCACAGATAGCCCTTTGTGTAGCTTTGTGCTTAACTACAAACAAACAAACACTGAAACCCCTATTACTATTGTAATGCCAGAAGTATGAGAAATAAAATAGTTAACATTAGGGCACTCGTAGGAATGAGGGATATTGATATAATGGGAATAACTGAAATATGGATAAATGAAGATGATTTTGATGAAAGACATTTCTTTAGAATACAGAGTTATATTTATGGGTTATTTAAAAGTGATAGAGTATCAAGGAGAGGGGGAAGAGTGGCTTGATACGTAAAATGTAAGTTGCATCCTGTTGAAGTTGAGGATATCAAAGATAATAGCTAGGAGATTGAATACAATTGGGTTTCTATTAGCGGATATAAAGGGAAAAGGCTTTTAGTGGGAATTCAGAAGGTACTGTTACGCCTCCAGTCGTTAATTGATTTCCCGTAACTTCGTTCCGACGAAACTTTAGCGACACAAGTCCTTACTTAATAAAACTGGTTTATTCCTTCAGAATATAACCTTACAATACACTTAATTTCAACAATCGCGCTAAAACAAACGCTATAACAACGAACGTGCTCAATAATACTCTCTGACTGCAGATCAATTACTTACTGTCTACACACACATTATTCCGTCACGTTGTTACCCTCTTATATACATACCGGACTACCCTATATCTAGTAATCTCCCGACTATTCCCGAAGGTTCGAGAGAAGTGGCGTGACACTAGTCACATGACCTCGCTGACGCAACACTGCCCCCTCCTTAGTATTGTTCGTCTCGAACAATAGCCACTTACAATAAACCAATAACAATTAACAATAACTTAATTAAATGTATAGAATTACAATCTCAAAATTACAATTCAACAAAGTCTCTTAATTTTATGGGACGTATCTTCTTCCGTACTGGTCTCCATCTCGTTGGCTTCTGCTTCATGTGGGGTTCATCTGCTTCATCAGTAAATGTCCTATCATCAGTAACAGTCACATCAGTGGTAGTAATTTCATCAAGAGCTTCACCGTTTCCCTTCTCAAAACTGAGTAGAGTTTCTTCTTCGATGGTGGCTTCTTCAGCAGCATCATTTGTTCCTTTGTTCACTTCGTCCCAACTGAAATGTCCTGGACCGTGATAACGCCAAAGCCT